TCAAGAAGAGAAGTCTATTATTTATGGAAAAAATTCAGGAGAACTTGGACAAATGGTAAAAAAAAAAATAATTTCCATCTTGGAATTGAATTTTTTTTAAATATAAAGTAATGTAGATTTAAGACAATATGGTTTTTTTTTTTTAAAAAAAAAAAAATGAACAGGGTATTAAAGTTACTAAAATGCTTTTCGAAACGGCTAAACCTATACTTGCTCCAATTCTGAAAACTTCCTCTAAAGAGGTTGATGAATTATTTGAGTCTATTTCCAAAGAAATAAGTGAATTGGATTGTTATCAAATTTTTTTTCGTATTTATGCGTGTAAAAAATAATTTATTTTTTCTGTGACAATATCTTATGTTCAGTGTTGGAAAAAAAAAAATCAAGTTTTTTTTTTTTATTTTTATAAATAATTAAGTTTCTTATAAATTTATCTGTTATATATTTAATTTTAATTTAAATTTTAATTACAATTTAATTCAACTAAAAGCTTGTGGACGTTATCGGGAGTCACGTTTCGGAATATCACGATTCAGGTTGTCACGGAATTAACAATCGAATGACCGATAGACAAATTCTGTAATCAACTAAAAACTGGTACGTAACAATCACGTGTTCATGACAATCACGAAAATAACGATTCAAACAAGAATGGTTTAATTTATAACGAAAGGGATTGTTAGACATGGAGACTTCTAATTATTATGATTTCAAAGCATTAATTCGAAAAGTCTTATTCTTTATTTGAGGTGAAATCCGAATACAAAGATTCTATAGCAAAATAAAAGAAATTCAAAAAATTAATAATAATTTAGATTAGAATTAAATTATTTTGATATAACACAAAATATTTATAATAATTTATATAATTTTTAATTGGAGATTGTTTTAAGAATACACTACTAGCTCAAAATTGTTGATTTAGATAATAGTTTAAGTAAAAGCTACTATTATACTTCACAAGAAAAAGAAAAGTAACAAGCTTAAAGAAATTAAGATTAATTATATTAAATTATTTAATTTTTTTTAAAAAATATATATATATGAATAATCAAATAAATATTTTTGTAAACATTATTTAGAATATTTTTGTAAACATTATTTAGTATATTAAATTTTACCTGTTTATCTTTTGAAAAACATGGAAAGGTTTGTTAATTAGCAATTTTATTTTTTATTTTTTTTGTTATTAAGGTTATTTCTTTAGCTAATTAGATTTTATTAATTTGTTATTACAGAATTACCATAGTAGTAATTTCCTAAAGTTTTATAATTATATGATGAGTATACAACAAGCTACATATACAATTTTAGTTATGATCTAATTTAAGTAGTCTATTATATAGATAATTGATTATTTGTTGATTCTATACTATGCTATTATATCTACAACTTACCTGTGAGTTATCTATTTAAATACTTTGTTTATTAACTCTTCTTCTTATTCTAAATTAACATCATCACTATATCTAACTGTTTAAGCTAGCTAACTTGCCTATAGATTTATTTATTGCATAATTTAGATTCTTTCAAAATACATATTGTCTAATATATTGTAAGTATGTAAAGCTTTAGTTAATCTTAAAAGTGAATTTTACTAGAGTAGTTATATGTCTATTTTACAGATTCACTTGAATTATATCTTTGTTAATATTTGTATAAACTTAGTTCTTATTATAGTTTTTTACTAGATTAGTTTTCTAAGATTTTAGTCAGATATTTCACAAAGTAGATTCTTCTAATCTAGTTAACTACTAAATCAAGTTAGTTTTGCTATTAATGCAAGACACTAGATTGCATTATATAGTAGACTTATTTGTATCTATTTGACCTATATCTTTTATATACAGATTTTTTCACTAGATCTAATATTAACTAATATAACTGTTAAAATTTATACTATTTTACTAAACTTAAGATTTCTACTATGCAGATTCTCTGCTTATAAATTCTATTAAGATTTATTTATATAATATAACTCAAATATTATATTATATTTCTAATATCTAATTAACATTAGTATAATATGATTTATAGAGTTGTAACCTTCAAAAATAAATAGAGTTTACTTAAGTTAAATACAAAGGTTTAAGTAATTATTTAAATTTATTAATAGTAGAATTTAAATTTCAGACCTCTTGTATAATTGTCTGGTAATCTAACTTCTATACTAAATTATTAAACTTTTAAACTATATTTTTTATTATTTTTTAGTTTCTATAAGTTAATAGATTAGATTTGGTAATCTTAGTATAGTAGTTAGGTTGTCAGACTGCCATACAAGAGGTCTGGAATTCAAATTCCACTATTGATGAATTTGAATAATTACTCAGACCTTTGTACTCAACTTACAGTAAACCCTGTTCATTTCTGGAATTGTAACTCTGTAAATCATATTGTACTAATATTATTTGGATATTGGAAGTGTGATGAAGTATTTGGAAAGACATAATATAATATGAATAAATCTTGATAAGATCTATAAGCAAAAGATTTGCATAGTAGAAATCCTAAGTAGGTGAAGTAGTACAGCTTTCAACAGTCATACCAGCTAATACTTAATTAAGAAAAGAAACTATACTCCAAAAATGTAGATCAAGAGAGGTGCGAGTAAGTCTGTTCTATAAAGAAAATTAGCAACACCAACTTGGCTTGGTAGCTAACTAGATTAGAAAGATCTATCTCATAAAATATCTGAAGAAATCAGCAAACAGAAAACTAGTAAAAAGCCACAAGAGAAACTGGAGTTGTATGAATATCTACAAGGGTTTAAGCTAGGTGAATTTATGAAATAGGTACAGACTACTCTAGTAAATTTGCTTTGAGGTTAACTAGAGCTCTGCAGGCTTATAATATGTTAAGTAATAAGCATCCTGAGAGGACCTAAGCTAGAGTCAAAAAATAAATCTATAACAAGCTAGCTAGCTTAAATGATTAGGTGTTATAGTGATATTAGTTTGTAATAGTATAAGTTAGTTAAACAGAGTATTTAAATAGGTAACTCACAGGTGGGTTACAGATATAGCAGCATAGTGTAGAACTAATCAGATAGTCTATTGTCTGTGTAGTGAACTACTTAAATTAGATAATGACTAAAGTTATATGAGTAGCTTGTTGTAAACTCTTCATGTAATTACAAACTAAAGTGATTACCTATATATAATCTTGTATATCAAACTAATAAAAATTATCTGATAATGTAAGCCACTTTAAAAATAAAATAAAAAAAAAAAATAAGTTAATATATTTAGTTACTATTATATTATTTGTTTTTTTTTAACTTAGATAATTTTACCTTTGGTTTATTAGTAGAAAATTTTATAAAGAAAATTATTATACAAAAATAAGAAAAAAACTAATATTCTAAACTCTAATATATCCTATTTTTGTAACCTCAAATTTATTCAACTTGCCTTATACTACTTAGATGTGATCTACTACAAAAAGTATTTATCTCTTTAAAAGATATACTATCTAAATAGAGTAGTTTTTTTAGATTAATAATAGGTTTTTTTATATCTTATCAAGGTTTTAGATTGTTTCTAATCAAATTAAAACTAAATTACAAACTATTAATATTTAGTTCAAATTAAAAATAAAAATTGTTACATATAATAAAATATAGCTAATTATATGAATTAAGCTTATAAAAAAAAATTTATTACTAGATTAAAAAACCTTTACAAGTAAAAAGTAAAGAAAAAATAAAAGAAAATAAACACTCTTTTTAACATAAAGAAAAAAAAATATGACAAAGTATAAAAATATTATACTATATAAAAACAAAAATATATATCTCTAATGTTAGACTTGTTTAGAAATTAAATCCTAATTAGATTATCTATATAATAGTGATATATATATTTGTTATCTTATCTAAATTGTATATCAATAGATAACTTACTAAATTAGAAAGTAGTACAAACTTGTAAATCTTTTGTTAGGAATTTACTAAATCTTTTACTTTTTAATTTTTAATAAATAAAAATCTAAAGAACTAAAGAAGGAATGATAATAATGTCAAAAATTTTTAAAGAGAGTTTTATTTTCTAAAATTTACTATTTACTTGTATTTACCTAGAGTATAGCTAGTACTTATCCTTAGTAGGTGAGTGATAAACTCTAAGCTTTTTAGCAAGTAATATATAAGTACTATTTTTAAATAACAAGTGCTATTTGGATATTGCAATAAGTAATAAACTCTGAACTTATTAGCAAATAGCATATAAGAACTATCTCTAAATAACAGATACTAACTTATATTTCTCTGCTTTATCACTTTTATATTTTTACAAAGTTTATTATATATTTTTAAAAAAATAAGTTAAGAAATTTTAGTATAAGTAATTATTTAGAAAGAATTGATTGTATTTTGTATATATATTATTTGTAATATTCTTTAGCTCTTTAAATTATATAATAATTAATTAATTATTAGATAAAATTCTAGATTTTTAATTCTATAATATAAAATTTTTAATTTCAAAGTTTGCAATTATTTATTATTAAAGTCTAAGTTTTTTTTTCTATTTTTTTTTGTATTATTTAAATCTAGAAATTTTTATATTTATAATATATTTTGTTAAATTTTTTTTTAAATATTATATAACTTTGTAGCTATATTATATAACTTGTTTATCTATTATAATAATTTATTAAATAGTAAAAAAATTTTTATAAAAATGATTACTATTTATAGTTTTAGAATAATTTTGTTTTTAGTTAGATATCAGAAAATTTTTTTAGGAGCTATATATCGATATATAGCCTTTAAACGCTATATATCAATTATAAATTATTGATATATATCGATTAACTGCTATATATTGATATATAGCACTATCGATATATATTGATTATAGCTATATATCAATTAATATCACTAATGATATATAATGATTATAAAAAAATTTGTGAATATTTTTCAAACTTTAATAATTATTTTCTTGATAACTAATAATTTAAATTAGCTCAAATTTTAACTGTATATAGAACCGATATTTTTCTATAACATATTAAAATTTTAGCTAATTTGGATTAGTAGTTCATTAGAAATAACTAAAATATAATAACAAATTTTTTTAAAAAAATTGATTATTGTATATTAGCGATTTCTCATGAACTACTAATCCAAATTAGCTAAAATTTTAATATATTATAGAAGAATATTAGTTCTATATACAGGTAAAATTTGAGCTAATTCAAATTATTAGTTATCGAGAAAATAATTATCAAAGTTTATATAAAATTTATAATATTTTTGTTATATATCGATAGCAATTATATGTAGCAGGGAGGCTATATATCAATATAAATCTGGAGATTACTATTG